AGTTGGAGAAGATGGCAGGGATGAGGAGTTCAACAAGAACAAGAAGGAAAAGAAAAAAAAAGCGCATGCTGAGGTGGCAGCCGCGCGGCGATTACAAGATGACGAGGAGGAGTTGGAGAGTGGAGGAGGAGGAGAAGAAGAGGAGGAGAAGAGGAAGAGGAGGAGGAGGAGGAGAAGAGGACAAGGAGGAGGAGAAGAGGAGGAGGAGAAGAAGAAGAAAAAGGAAAGATGGCGAGGAGGAGGAGAAAAGATGGCGAGGAGGAGGAGGAGGAGGAGGAGGAGGAGGAGGAGGAGGAGAAGAAGAAGAAGAAGAAGAAGAAGAAGAAGAAGAAGAAGAAGAAGAAGAAGAGGATGAAAAGTTGGAGAAGAAAAAAAAAATAAGCGCTTGCTGACGTGGCAGCCGCGCGGCAATTAGGAGACGACGAGGAGTTGGAGAGTTGGAGGAGGAGAAGAAGAGGAGGAGAAGAGGAAGAAGAGGAGGAGGAGGAGGAGGAGGAGAGGAGGAGGAGGAGGAGAAGAAGAAGAGGAGGAGGAGGAGAAGAGGAGGAGGAGGAGGAGGAGAAGAGGAGGAGGAGAAGAAGAAGAAGAAGGAAAGATGGTGAGGAGGAGGAGGAGAAGAGGAGGAGAAAAGATGGTGAGGAGGAGAGAAGAAGAAGAAGAAGAAGAAGAAGAAGAAGAGGAAAAGAAGAACAAGAAGAAGATTAAAAAAAAAAGGTGCGTGCTGACGTGGCAGTCGCACAGCGATGACGACATGAGTAGTTGGAGTAGAGGAGGAGGAGGAGGAGAAGAAGAAGAAGAAGAAGAAGAAGAAGAAGAAGAAGAAGAAGAAGAAGAAGAGGGCGATGAGGAGAAGGAGAGAAATGGCCAACGAGTTGATCTCTCTATTTCTCTCTCTCTCGCACACACACACACACACACACACACACACACACACACACACACACGGTGGGGCAGGTTGGGGGCGGGGGGGGGAGGAACGGGGTTGGTCTTGGGCTATGGCTGGTCACTCACCTGCACAGCCACCTCCTCTGTGCGCTGCTGCTCCAGCCGGGGGGAACGAGCGTTGGAGTTCGATTTCGAATTCGAAATCGACTCCCCCCAGCCCCCCTGAACCCCGCCTTCAGTTGGCGGGCTACCACTGCCCTCCCCCAGGCCCCAAATCCCCGTCCAGACCACCGCCGGCGACCGGTACCGGCCTCCGCGAACGACGTTTGTGGCCTCCCAAAACGCGTTCTCGCGACCTGTTCGCACGAACGCACGAACGTGTTCGTGTGGACGAGGAGCACCACGAATGCTACGAAACGAGTTCTCGCGAACGTGTTCACGACCCGTTCGCACGAACGCGCGAACGTGTTCGCGCGGACGAGGAGCACTGCGAACGCGTTCGCTGTGCTACGCAGGATTCGAATACACATGCGGTCATGACGAGCTGCACATACTGCACCTATAAACACATGACCTCATCTGAAGTACTAAAGGTACTATACACTACTAGGAAAAAGAGGACGGAAGAGGACCATTGGTGGGACTAAGCATCATCGTCGTTCACAATGTCCTTCCTCCTCCTCTATGGCGCCACACTAGTGGTACAATCCCCGCCACCTGTGCCACCTACCGGCCCGTGCGCCGTGTCCGGAGCATGAATCCCTCCCTGTGCTGCCGCCTCAACCCCGCCCCGCGATCGAAGAAGGTCGTATACGGAAACCCTCTTCCGGTGGCCATAAGGCATCTCCAAATCGTCCGTACCCGACTCCCAGCCGATGGGTGTCTGTGACGGTCGCGGCGCAGTCAATAGCCTCACAATCTCCCTCAATATACGTTCGGCCGTGCTCCTCCCGGGGGGGGCACTGTGCTTGTCGTGCTCCTCCCTAGCGGTAGTGGAAGTACGCCCTCCAGCACGTGGCACCGCCGCGTCGGCAGGTGTGCTCATCGGGTGCTCCTTCCCCCGGGTAGAGGCCCTCTCCCGCCAACCTGCTGTATCCGCGACAATGTCCCCGCCCAATGCCTCCCGAGTCCGCGGATGTAAACCGGCCAACCCAGGCTGGCTCGCTCGCATCTGCTGGGTCACCCTGCTCACAGTACTAAGACTCTTTCCTGCTTTCATCTTCTTCTTCCCTTATTTGGGAGAAGGAGACTCCCCTGCAGGTGTCGAGGCGGGACTCGGTGCAGTGCCTGGACCCTCGGCATGTGTGGGAGGAGTGACATCTGTGGCAGACGATGGCACTGACGGGCTGCACAGCACAAAGCTGGGCCATCTGCCATGACCCTCCTCGATGCCTCATCCATCCGTCCGCGTCGATCTGCCGCAATGGGTCCTCTCGTGCCTGCCGCTCTAACTCCCTCGCCGACATAGCTCCAGCGAATGGCAATACACAAACACCATGAACGGGCGAGGCAGGTCTCTCGCCTGCATCCCCACCGACCGCACCGCCACACTCAACCTCTGCATCCTCCGCCGCACAATGACCCGCACCATCACCCGTCTTGAGCACCCGTTGTGCACGTGCCCTCGCCGCAATACTCTGTGTCATCTCGCAACGCCTCGCCAACTCTAGCGCCCTCTCCCTCTCCTTGCGGTCGGTCCTGTCCTGCTCCGACTCCAGCACTCGCTCCTGTATAGGTCGACACTCCCCGTCATCCCCTACTACACGCTCACGCTGCCCCGACAAACCCTGTGTGTCCTCCGCTACTTCCCGCAACATGATGCTACTGATGTCACCCATGCTGCATGAAGGCAAACCTCTAAGTATCTGACTGATGGGCGTCGGAGGAAGTCCCAACGAAGCATCAAACATGTCGTCGCTGAAATCGGGACCGAACTGTACAGATCCCCTCCCAACCTCTGCAGCCGCTCCACTGATCTCTATAGACCCGGCTGCAACCTCTGCCGAAGCTGCAACAGCCTCCGCACCATCTGCAGCAACCTCCGCAGACCCGGCTGCAACCTTTGCCGACGCTGCAACAACCTCCGCATCCACTGCAGCAACCTCTGCAGACCCGGCAGCAACCTCTGCAGACGCTGCAGCAAACTCTGCAGGGGAGGCAACGACATCTGCCCTCGTGGTCGGTCCTGTCGAGGCACACTCATTATCCCTGTGTACAGTGCGAGTGCACGATGCAGACTCTCGCCTCGCCCGTCCTCCGCCAGCTCGGCCTGCGCCACCTGTGTGCCCTGCGCCCCCAGCACCCGGCTCACTGCCTCCCCTGCCTGCACCACTGCATCAGTCACCACAGTGTCTCTCGGACCTCCGCAAACCACCCGCAGGCTGTGTCCCATCGTCGTCCTCGTCGTTGTCGTCACCTCGTCCGTGTCTCGGGGAATAGGCGGGATCCTCATCGTCCTCACTGCTGCCCTCGTAACCCCTCTCCTCGCGGTCGTCGTCGTCGTCTCTCTCCTCATCTCCCCGACTGCCCTGCTCATCATGTCCACGACAATCTATGGAAGGGTGCGGAATCGTGCCCCCAACCCAGTCCTCAGGGCCGCTTAGTCGAATGCCACGAGTACTCGAACGTGGAGGTGGAGGGTGAGGCGGCGCAGGGGCTGCAGTAGAAGCACGCGTCCGAGGACACACCATCTCGGCAAGAGGAGCGTCGTAGCGACCGTCATCAGAATCTTCGAGCTCTGACTCCACTCCCTGGTCGTCTGGATCGGACCACGGCTCCGCCTCAATCGGGTCCTGAGCCGTAGGATCAGGCTCGGGATCGTAGACGGACTCCAACTTTGTCGGCATGAGCACCGTCACGAGATGACCAAAATACATCTCCACGCTGGGCGGTGGCCTCGATAGGCGATCCCTTTGCCCACGCTGCACCGGCTGCTCGCGCTGCGCCTCTGTGACTCGGTCGGCTGGCCGAACACCCTCTTCACGAGGCGGAGGAGTAGCGTCCTCTGTCTCCTCCTCACTGTCCTCAGCGTTCTCCCATGGCAGAACGTACCCTAAACCCCTCCCCTGACAACGACTCAATCTCAAGTTGGTGGTATTTCCACCGAACGAGCAAGCTTGATGAAACCAAGCTGGTTACGCTTTTTTCACCTGAACACGCTCATAGACGGCCCAGTTCCTCTCCGCTGGAGAGGCGCACGTCCATGTGTGCGTCAGGCGAATGGCATAACTCTGAAGGAGAGGGACCCCGTCCCTGTGTTGCACCCACCACTGCCCAACCTACGACGTTTCCTTCTTCCCTCTGCACGAGGCCACGTCCTTTTCACCCTCAACCCCTTCGTACGTCCAATCACCCTCCCGACTATGAAACTCTGCCAGTTGCGTGCGCAACGTCTGATATAAATCCTCATCATCCCCAGTCTGCTGGCAAAGGTATCGCAGCGACTCCTCATCCAGTGTCTTGTCGTGCTTGCGGCGCCTTGCCGCTTAAAAGAAAAGTGATGCTCCTATGGCGCGGGTTGAGGAGATGGGCAATGCAATGTGCTGGCTTCAACATATGATCCACCCGCGCCTGACAAGCCTGAATGACGATGTGGAGCTCGTCCTTCAACGTCCTCTTCAACCTCGATCTTGCCACCGTGTCCACCATGGCAAGCGCCCACGACCACATGCGAGTCATCACGCGCCCCCCTCTGTCCAAACGGCGTAGCAACTGCATCACAGGCGTCATCAGCTCCACGATATCCTCCACGTGCTCCCAAAATGGTGCGTAACGCACCTGATGACGCACCACCTGGCCTGCAAGAAAATGAACCTCCTCCATGCAATCCGCAACCAATCATCGCTCATCATCAACGCCTCCAGCGCTCTACGACGATCCAACAAGTGGCAACAACCTCTCCAGCATCAAATAGTGCGTGGCGAACCTCGTCTGCGCAGGGTACACAAGCTCTCTGCCACGCCGCTGAACCTGGGTTGGTGCAGCGCTAGAATTGGCTGCAGCTGCAGAGGCGGAAGACGGGTGGGCGGCAGAGTACCGTCGATTAAGGGTGAGAGCCGCCCCGTGCTCTCTAACTTGAATAAAACGCACGACCGCTCGAGCCCTGATGATGGTGTCCTCCCTCTTTCCAATCTTCCCGTTGTTGCCGTCCTTGGCGATGTCAGACAACAACAAGTTGCAGACATGGACCGCACAAGGAAGCCAAGTGATGCGGTTGTACTTGACCTCCTCCTTCGCGAGGAGCTTGGAAGCAGCTACATACGCTGACGAGGAGTCAGTGCAAATGGCGTTGACATTTTCGACACCGAACTTGTCGAACACGTCCTTCCATCGCTCCACCACGGCCTCCGTTGTTTCCTGAACAGCACCGTCCTTCTGCACAGTCCTGAAGAGGTATGCTCCAGTGGGTCCAACAGCGAGGAAGTTCACTATCTGGTCACTCGTGATGGACTTGCAACCATCAGTAAGGATAGTCGCTCCCGTTGCCGTAATGTCCTTGCTGACGGACGCCACCAAGTCCGCCACAACTTGCTACTGCTCAAGGATGTCGTCGTCCGAAATGACACAGTGCGTCAGCAACGCAGGATGTGTATACGGCGGACACTCAAGCAAGTGTCTTCTTATCTTGGTGTACTCAGGTCTCCTCGATGCCTCGAATGGAATGCCACTGACGTAGTACCATTGCAGGAAGTAGTTGGAAAAATCTTGTTGCCAGACAGGATCGAAGACCTCGACCAGGGAAGTCTGTCGAAGGACTTTGCTCTTCTTCAGCCACAAGCGGTTATCGGGTAGCTGAAAATTCAGGAATGAAAATTCTGAAGTGAGAGTTTTGGGCAGTCTGGAAATCCTGAATGGTCCTGAAGTGGTGAAAGGTCCGAAGACCCTGAAAACCACATGTTTAGGCAGGCTGCATCCTGAAGTGGTGAAGGGTGTCCTGAAGTGGTCAAGTGAGAGTTTTGGGCAGTCTGAATATCCAGAATGGTCCTGAAGTGGTGAAAGGTCCGAAGACCATGAAAGCCACCCTTCACCACTTGAGGATGCAGCCTGCCTAAGCAGGTGGTTTTTAGGGTCTTCGGAGTTTTCACCACTTCAGGACCATTCAGGATTTTCAGACCTGAATGGTCCTGAAGTGGTGAAAGGTCTGAAGACCCTGAAAACCACCTGTTTAGGCAGGCTACATCCTGAAGTGGTGAAGGGTGTCCTGAAGTGGTGATGAAAAATACGACTGTTGTTAACCTTGTCTCTCTTTGGCAAAGGAGGTGCTGGTGGAGTCACCGTGACAGTCTTTTTGGCCTTCCTTTTTCGCTTCTTCGATCCCCTTGCCTCCATCATCGCTTTGGATGGCCCCTCTTGGCCTCGACGACCACCAGCCATCAGCCCCCCATCAAGACAGGCTCCAATGTCCGATTCCTGATCCTCGTCGTCGTCCTCCTCCTCCTCCTCCTCGCTCGGAGTGTTGTCCTCGACGACGGTCTTCTCCCTTCTCATCTTGCCCCTTGCACGCTCCGCCTCTCTCCTCACTGTTGCGTGTCGCTGTTACCATCATCCTTTCGACCCTTGGTCGCCCTCCTCTCGTCCTTGCTATCCTCGTCGTCCTCCTCCCCCGCCTGCTCCCTCCCTGAAGTAGATCTGTTATCTCGATACCCCCGAGATTTCAGGAAGTCGAGAATCTTGCGGCAATGGCTCTGATCGAACATGTAGTTCATCTTGTTCCAAATCTCCGTCGGCTGCTCCACAGAGACTTTGGGGCAATTGTTCTTGATCGTGAAGTGCGTAGCCGCCTTCGTTTGACTGCCCTGAAATCCCTGTCCACACAATATGCACTCCATGAGGAAATTCTCATTGGAGTTCGACAGCATTTGCCCCTTCCTGATTCATTTGAACCCGCAGAACTTCAACTCCGCCGCCCTCTGTTTGTCCTTACTGACAGGGATAAACAGCTGGTCTCCCCTCCCTTTCCTAGGCCCCATTGGAGACGGAACACAGAGTCAGAAACAGCCAACAGCGGCCTTCAGCAGTGTCTGTGCTCTTCGCCCGCCTCACCCCCCCCCCCCCCCCCACCCTCCCCCCCCCCCCCCCCCTCCTCACCTGGCGTCCCAAACCGTCTTCGAAACGGCTCTCGCCTCTGGCCGACGCTTAAAGCGGACGGGCCGTTGTCGGGACCGATGGGTCCCGAGATAAGCCTTGCCCATTGAAAGGCGGTATACCGCGGAATTGTGCACGGCAGAGAAAACCGGAGGCAAAAATGATAGAGAATGTTAAGTACTGGCGCTGGGGGACGGGGAGGTTGCCCAGGTCGCCGGAGCCACGGGGCTAAGGAAGAATTAGCGGAAAGGCGAGCGGCAAGAGACCGCAAGAAAATAGCAAAGGCGGTCGTTCCCCCCGAAAAGGAGAAGGACCGCCGGAAAAAGTAATGTCATGGGGCGCCCGCCGCAAGGGAAAAAAAGGGGAAGGGAAAACAGTACGAGAGATGTCGGCACACAAAGTCGTAGTCCGGGCTGAGAGGGTCATCGGGACGCAACGTCATAAAGGCCAAGGGGCCACAAGCCAAGCAAAAACTCGCGTCCGGGGAGAGTGGCGCACGGGACATGAGAGGCACAAAGGGGAGGAGGCCGCCATAGGGCGAAAAATGTCAAAAGAACCCCGGGTCACCGGCGGGACAAAGTGTCGGGGACCACCGGTGGGACGAAGTGTCGGAGACCACCAGCGGGACAAAGTGTCGGGAGCCACTAGCGGGACAAGTACCGGCAGGGCCACCGAGTACCGGCGGGGCCACTAGCGGGACTAGTGCCGGGGACCAGCGCGGGAAAGTGGCGGGGACTTGTGACGTCCCGAGGAAAAATTATGGCATGCCGCAAAATGCAAATAATTAAAGCAAGGCGCACCGTCAAGATCAAGGATCTTGACGGCCAATAATATTAGCACCACTAGCATGAGCACTAGTAGGAGCAAGCGGGAAGGCCAAGGAAAAAAAAAAAAAGTCAAAGAAACGTGGGTGTAGAGGCGTGGGAGCAATCCGAAAAATCTCGGATTGATCTCCCCCAAGAAAATAGGGTCAAAAGAGCCTCCATGAGAAAAGTAGACCTCCGGGGGAAAATCGAAGTATGGGGGTCCATCGTTTGGAAGGAATAGGGGCGAACGAAGGCTCCCATGGGCATGGAAAGGCCGCAAGTGCAGTCCGAGAAATAACGGACTGGCCCTTGAGCATGGGAAGGGCCAAAACTAAGAGGAAGGGCCTAGAAAAGGGCCTTAACGGCTAGTTGACACTTGGCAATCAAAAAGAAAAAAGAAAAAGAAAAAAAATAAAAAAATAAAAAAATGAGAGGTGAGAGAGGATGAGTGAGTTGGTCGTCAGTAGGGACTGCAGCAAGTAAAGACTGGAAGGTCCCTACTGTCCACAAGTGGAGGGAAAAGAAAAGGAAAAAAAAATAAAAAAAAAATAAAAAAAAATCAAAAGGGCACTAACAGTAAAAAACGGCCACATAGGGGATGTATTGGTGACCAGATTCATTCTGGCATATATCAGTTACAAAATTTCTTGATTTTCTCTTGATTTTGCAGAGAAAATCAAGAAAAATCAAGCCCTTATGCAACCGAGATCCAACGGATTGCAAGAGGTAGGCCAAACACATGTTTTAGGTGCACCGGGAGCCAAAATGAGGACCGCATGCACTTGGAAGTTGACCGTTTCTTTTTCTTTCAGTTTGGGGCTGTTGTGGGATAGTGGGACCAGGAAAATGGCCCCTATTGCAGTCCGAGTTGCAACGGACTACATGGGGAGGGCCAAACACATGTTTTAGGTGCGTCCGGAGTCAATATTGAGCCCGGATGCACTTGAAAATCAAACGCTTCGTTTTCTTTGAGCATGGGGCAAGTTGCGGGGCTGTGGGACTAGGAAAATGGTCATGAATGCAGTCCGAGAAATAGCAAACTGCATGAGGATGCTTAGGCCAAGGGGAAATGGGTCGCGGCATGCCCAAAGGGCTAGAAAATGATGTCGCATGACATAAGAAAAGTAGGGGCGGTAAATGGTGACCGCGAGATGAGATCTCACGGCCGGAAAAAATCGGCGCACACGCGACACCCAAGGAAGAAACATTGGGACTATTGAGGGCAAAAGGGTCCCAAAATAAAAATGGGACGCCGTCCGGGACATTGTCGGGGACTAGGTGGTCCCAAATAATGAAAGTCGGAAAATGGGACACGCGTCAGTGGGGTCGCCGATGGGACAAGAAAGTGGAACTAGTATGGAAGGAAGTGGTGGGGACTTGGGATGTCCCAAGGGAACCATGAGCAAGCACAAGGAATAATTGTGCAAGCAAACGGCGCTGTCGAGATCAAGGATGTAGAAAGTGGGAAATAGTAGGGCCCAAACGGGAGGTCTAGCGGTAAAAAGAAAAGGAAAACGGGAGTTGAGAGGGTTGCTCAGCATTCCGAGATATTTTGGATTAGCTGGGCATGTGAAGATGAAGCTCCAAGAGGCCCAACATAAGAAACGGGCTGCCCATGGAAAATCAGAGCAAAAGGGGCTCAAAATCAAACAAACGGTGGTAAAATGGAGCCCCCTAGGAGCATGGGAGGGCTAATTTTGAAGTCCGCGATGTTACGGCCAACAGTCGGTCATAAACCTGGCCATGATTGGGGTTCCTAGGCCTAGAAAGAGAATGCACAGCTGTTGGACACTTGTCACAACAGAAAAAAAAGAAAAAAAGAAAAAAAAAAAGGAGAAAATTGAGGGAGAATGAGACAAAACGGGAGTAAAAGGGTGGAGGAGAATGTGCCGGCCTATTGGGACTGCTGCAGTAGGGACTGGAAAGTCCCAATGATGACCTCATCCCTCCTAGAATGAGGGAAGGTAGGCCGGATTATTGAGATATGGCCCTTGGGGCTAGATCTCCATAATATCTGAATTAAAAAGAGGAAAATGAGAGAAAATGCAAGGGAGAAATGACCGGTTTTTTTTTTACCCATGGATCTGAGATCAGATCTCATGGTGGAGAGGAAACAACCGTTTTTTGTGGGCCAGCTCAAAATGGCTAGCTCCGGAATGAGGTGGCAGCCCAAAATAGAAAGAAACAAAAGAGAGAAAAAGACAGAACTGTGCATTTGGCCGAAAAGAGAGCCAGATGCAAAAAAAATTGACAAATTGGACTTAGGGACTCAAATTTGAAGCAAGGATCACCATGGGGTAGCTCGGAACAATGCTGGCCTTGGATCTCAGCCTGATCTAAGGCTGAAAATATGCCGCCACATGAAAAAATGCTCCGGCCTACCCAAGGGAGGCCAAGATCAGAAAAAGTCGAGAAAAAGGCTTTGTACAAAGCTTTTTTCTCCCAAGCAGGTTGTCCCTTGGGCCTTAGACTCAAGGGGGCAACATTTTTCAAGAGGTATGAGGCTAGAAAGAGGCCCAAGGGGCGGTCCGAGTTGGTACCAACCACTCGGACTGCATGAACCTGACCAAAATGAGGCCCAGGTGCCCCCGGAGAGGCCTAGTGGTGAAAATTGCCATGGGGGTACCTCGGTTCACCATGGGGTATGTGTCGAGGTCCATGGGCTGGCCGGACTGCTGTTTTCAGCCTACATAAGCTGGGAGTTCAGTCCGCCATACTCCCATTTGCATGAGGAGTGTCCATGCTGCCCAAATGTATCAATGAGAGCACTACACTCACATGGAGTGAGGTGAGGGGAACCCAGTCAGTCTGGAAGTCTAGAAGGGACTGTGAGCTAGTGTGTAGGACTCTGCAGGCTAGTGGTAGTGGGGAAGGTGATCCGCCATAGCTCCCAGGCTGTGCGGAGGAGAGGAAGGTTAGAGGGAGTCTCATTAGCCCTCCTACAGGGAGGGACTCCATAGCCAAGGTGGTAGGAGTTTGTGGCAACTTGGGAAGGAGTGAAAGAGGAAGGAGGAGAAGGGCTTGGAGGGGAAGGAAGCCATAGCCAAGAGGGTGGTTGAGCAAGGAGAGGAAGGTCTTCATCAAGATCGGTACTCCATCCCAAGACACCAAGAAGGTGAGTGGAGAGGAGGGTCTCCTCCTCCTCCTCCTTCTTCTTCTTCTTCTTCTTCTTCTTCTTCTTCTTCTTCTTCTTCTTCTTCTTCCTCCTCTTCCTCTTCTTCTTCCTCCTCTTCCTCTCCCTCTTCCTCCTCCCCCTCCTCCCCTTCTTCTTCCTTTTCCTGTTCTTTTTCTCTCTCTTCCTCTTCCTCTTCTTCTTCCTCCTCCTTCTACGTCTCCTTCTGCTTCTTCTTCTTCTTCTTCTTCTTCTTCTTCTTCTTCTTCTTCTTCGTCGTATTTTTCTCTCTCTTCTTCTTCTTCTTCTTCTTCTTCTTCTTCTTCTTCTTCTTCTTCTTCTCCATCTTGATGTTTGGGTGATGATTAGTGATAGATTTGCCTTGATTTTCACTCCTATGTGAACCGATACTTTCCCCCTTATCATTTCATGCATTTGAGTAAGTTCTACTCACCCAGCTCTCACTTTCTCTCCAATTTTTCACTTGGATGTAAATCGCAACTTTAGTTTTTGATCATCTTGATGTATGGGTGATGATTAGTGCTAGATTTGCCTTGATCTTCACTCCTATGTAAATCGTCACTTTCCCTCTTCTCATTTCATGCATTTGGGTGAGTTCTATTCACCCAACTCTCACTTTCTCTCCAATTT